TTCAGTTTGTATCAAACTTTCAAAGTTGGACTTAATACCAGTTGATGGATGACAGCTTTTCTTGCCTCCCCCCTTCTCAAAACATATTTAAACATTGCCTCCCACATAAAAAAAAACCCACCCAATATTCAAAATACAAATGAAATCTTTAACGTGTTTCACATAATCAGAATCTATAAAAATGTTTAAAACCAGTAAAAATTACGCCAGCAGTTCTGAATATTTATTTATCTATGATAAATATATATTGCTTTAAGACAGACATGTGGGTACCAAGTGTAATGGAAAAGAATTTACTCTAAAAAAGAAAAGGAAAAAAAACCCACAACTCACTGGCCTCAGGTAATCTCTTGCAGTTTTGCATATCTGTTATCCTAAAAAAAAATATGCAGTCTGCCTGCAGAGACTTTAACGGCTTTTTCAAGGTCAGCATTCAATAATTTAGGAAAGGCCAATTTCTTCTTCTTTTTTTTTTTTTTTTTTTTTTTTTAAGGAACCTGTTTCTCATTTATGCTATTAAATGTCATCTACTCTCATTTTAAGATCCCTGAAGCCGAATGCTTGAGCTGTGTAAAGGGACCTTAGTGAAAGTGAGAGTCAGGCCAAAGACTTAACAGCTCCAAACCCACAGTGCTCGTGTGAGAAAGAGCTGCAAAGATCAGGCTCTTCTTGGAAATCAGGCAAGGGGGAACTTCCAGAGACTGGGAGTTCAAGCTCAGTTCAGATAAACATCTAACAGTGCTGGAGCACTTCTGAGGCTACCCTCCACAGCACCTGAGCCTACAACATTAGCTGGAGACAAGATAGTCTTTAGAGATTTCAGCTACTTCCCATTTCTAGATAACCTAGAAGTATTTGACCAAGGCTCTTTCATCACATGATCTGAAAGCATCGCTGAAATACAGGCAATCTCACAACATCCCGGGAAGAAGGGATTTTTTTTTTGTTATTTTTATTTTTAATGCTGCGCAGTATAAGAATCATAGAATCGTCTAGGTTGGTAGAGACCCTTGGGATCATCGAGTCCAACCATCTACCCTACTCTACAAGGTCATCCCCTACACCATGTCCCTCAGCACTGCATCTAAACGGCCCTTAAACACAGCCAGGGATGGTGACTCCACCCCCTCCCTGGGCAGCCTGTTCCAATGCCCTATCACTCTTTCGGTGAAAAATTCTTTCCTAATGTTCAATCTAAACCTACCCTGTTGGAGTTGGAAATTACCAGGGTTCTGAACAATTACCAGGATTACCAGGGTTCTGAACAATTCACCCCATGTATCAGAAAGAGGTTGGTCTGCTCCGTAAACTTAACTACCCCAAGTGAATAAGGTCTCTGGGAAGTTCAAAGCAGCAGTATCAGCAATGCAGTTTTAAAGTGACAGGAGAGCTCACTGCAACGGAGCTGAGAAAGAGCAGTTGTCAATGAAGCCTGAAGAATCCCAGCTCCCAGCCTATCTTTCCCTCAGTGCACGCATTTCCTGCCTTAGAAGGTTAATATTGCGCAGAAGACAGTAAGATAGAGCTTCTGCTGTGCCTAAGCTGTGCTTGGCACTGCTCTCTGAAGGACTCCTTGCCAGAGACCAGAGCCAAAGCACAGCGTGCTCCTGCCACATCCTCTCCAGCGAGCTATATCTGCTCTCTACCTACTGGGAAGATGCAGATAATCAACTCCACTCCCTTCACTCCGAGCGCAGCAGTGGCTCTGCCCCTACATATGATCTTTGTGCTTATTCAGATATTTTTTTTTTTTTCTAATGTTCTTAAACCTCTGTCTGGCAAGGCATGGTTTATTAGAAGCAGATTTCTCTTCAGCTACTCAATGTGTCAGTTTTACAATTCCTAGGTGGTGTAATTCTTGAAAAAAAAAAAATAGAAATGTTCTTCATCCAAAATTTTGGATGAGTCACAGCAGGTTTCCTTGTTTTGGTTCACTCTTAAATGAAGCATAACTTTATCTAAATGATGCTCTGGTTTTCTTTGTTTGAGCAGACTACTAGCTCCAAATTTCTTTCAAGCAATAAGACTTTCCCAGTAAATGATGCCCACCAATTTGGCTCGGCAGCCATCACATTTTCATGGGACTGCAAATTTTATCAGGAAGAATTACACTATTACTTCCCGAACTTGATCACCTGGTATTAAACTAGACTCCCAAAAGCTGGCTTGAATCTCTTCAGGAACGCAGCACAGCACAAAACCCACCAGGTTCTCCTCTCCCACAAAAGAACTTCTATCAAAAAGTGCTCTGGTTGCAAGTAGAGGTCACCTGAATGTCCAGAAGCTACAGGGAAACTTAGGTAAGATGGGATGGCTGCACCTCCACTTCTGAGCAACAGAGAGGACAGATGAGAGAAGGAAGACCCTACACTCATCTCAGTATAAATCATCACAATAAAGCCATAGAAAAATAAGTCTTCAGAGACTCTAGGAAGAAATTAGGAAGAATTAGGAATAGATACCCTCACTAGGGCAGTGAGACACTGGAACAGGTTGCCCAAAGAGGTTTTGGATGTCCCATCCCTGGAGGTGTTCAAGACCAGGCTGGATGGGGCTTTGAGCAACCTGGTCTGGTGGGAGGTGTCCCTGCCCATGGTAGGCGGATGGAACTGGATGATCTTTAACCATTCTGTGATTTTAAGAGTTTCCAAAAAAAAGTAACTCTACAGAAATTATTTCAGTCTTGAATATCGAAAAGCTAACCCAAACCCTTTTTACACAATGTTTCCTAGTGGCAAACATCTTGACTTTTAACAAAGCATACATTTCCAAGGAAGATAAAAAACAGTCATCACTAGCCAGTGAGTTTGAACCTTTATCCTTTTAGTGTATTGCTTCTCTTTCAAAGTGATTTACATACGCATGTCTCAGATTGTCTGATTTGGCCATATTCAAGAACTAACAGAAGAGTTACAAGACAGTTGTTTTAATACTATACTATACCACTGTTTTTTATCCTCAGATAAAGAGTTGTGCCTTTTTTCCAGTACTTTATAGAGATAATGCTTGCTTTTCCCTTTCTAAATGAGTGTATTGGTCCACACCATTTGCTTTAATGATTTTCTAAAGGCAACTAATGGCATTTTTCATGGTATTTTCATTCGTGTCCCCTAAAGACCATTCCCCTGTCAGCCAGCTTTACAATGTGAAAGAGGAGGTTAAATGTGGAAAGTATTACTAGACTTTGCCTTTCCTTCTTTGTGATAGAATTCTTCTACCACTTTGACAAGTGCCATGCAAGCACCATGCAGACTTCATCATGAGACATATGACACTCACCTTGCATCCTACACTTAGGGTAGATGAACGAGTCACTGAAGGACAGATTTTCAGATGCAATTTATGCATCAATATAAGGTAGTAAAACCAGCTCAAAAATACACTGAAGCACAGATCTCAGTTTGGAGGAACTGAAGTGACTTGTTTCAACACTACAGAGTCTGCGTGCTCAGACATGTCTACAAGTACAACTCCAGTTGCTGAGCTGTCAGAAAAACTCTGGAGGGCAGTCACTGCTCTCTTTGAATATCCTATCCTAAGAACAAGGGGAGAGCACTTGTATTTCTGACCCCATTTACTTTTGGACAGTATGGCCTCCCTCTCCTTGCATCAAATTTTTAAGGAATTTAGGTACCTCATAAATGCATCACCCAAGGAAGCACATGGGAACTTAAATTCAGTGATCTCTCTGGAAGAAATGTGTCATGGGAAATTTCAGAACATTTAGGAAAGTTCTGCAGAGGAAAGAAATCCTAATTTTGAAATATCAAAATTTCCTACAAACTGGAAATCCTAGATTGTATCTGGCTTCAGTCCTAAATACTCCCCACACAAAGGCTTGACAGTAATGGAGAACTCTGAAATGGCAACCAGGGCAGAGAACAGCCTGCAACAATTATCAGCCCATCCAGCACTTGCACAAACCTTCTCAGAATTGTAGGCAAAGTTAAATTTGCTTCCCCAAGGACGATGACAAAACCAGCTAAAACGGGCTCAGAGCCAGCATTCCTGATTTGGGAAGAAGGGTCTCAGAGATGAAAGGCGAAGTAACTGGTGTTCAGCCTGCTGCTATGTCTCTCCCTCCTCCTCCTCCTCCATACTGCTCTTGCCAAAAAGAAGGGGAATGGAGCACAGATACAGAGCACACGGAGAACACGGTCACTCATCAGTGAGAATAAGCAGCTCACTGTACCCTGAATTAAATGAAGATGATGGTATCTAAGGGAGTTGCCTTGACCTTGGTGCAGTATTTCTGACCCCGGTGCAGAATTTCTGACCCCATCAATCTGCTGTCATAGGCATCACTTGAACTTAGAGCCAGTCCTTGCTTTGTCTCCAGTCAGGAATTTCCATATATTGAGAGGCTGAAGTTTATACACATTATAAACACTTCCTTCAAATGGTTTGTGAGCACTTACTTGTTCTGGCAGTGAAAGTACAATGTTTGTAAAAAATGTTTAAGTCTTAAACGTTGCAAATAGTCAGTAAACATTGTCTTGAACTCTCACAGACTCCTCAGAGCCTGCTTGCTCTAAAAAGAACAGAAGACACAACAGGACAGTAACACCACTGGTGCATGATCTTAACGCAAATAAATATGGTCTAAGATTCCCATTGCAAGCGAAAAAGTTGCTGAAATCCAGTGGAGAAATAAATATAGCTATTAAAGGAATGATCATACACCCACAAAATTATTACTGTAAAATTCAGTGGTTTTGATTTTAAGATAAAATTCAACATAAAGTCATTTATTTCTGCTGTCAGTTCTGAAGAAAGTCATCTCTGGTGACAATGGTCCCAGAGGAGTAGGAGTCAACGGTCTAACTGCAGGGCTGTGCACTGATTTGTGGAGGGATTTGAAGCAGCCCAAAAGAAGCAAGCAAGCACACAGGAAAAAAAAAAATCCAATATGAAAGCCTCAATACAAAAAAAAAATACAGAAAAACCCTCTGAATACCACACAGAAGGAAATCTGAGGTAACTACTTTGATCATACTCACAGGAAGGCAAGCAGAGGAAATATTCTGAGGTTTTCAGTAACAAATCAGCTGCTGCTGAATTCAGAATGATGACTCCAGAAAATAGAGTTGATCACTGTAGAGAAATAAAAATAAGGAACACGGTTTAGCAATAGCATGATTATTGTACACTCTCCATTTTTCCCTGGTAAAGTCTTCTTTAACATGATCTCTACAAAATTTTTTTAAAGTATGGAATAAAACAGAAAAATTTTGCAACAGACCGACAAAACCTACTATCAACAGCTCTATAAATTAATGTTTGACAAAGCAGACTTTGATTTCCCAAAATCTCTCAAAGTCACTCACTAAAACCTCTTTAAGAAGTGAAGTTGATACAGGCTAAGCTGAACATTCTTTTATGATTAGTAAGAGACAAAGCAAAGCATCAGACCAGTGCTGAGATTTCTCAACAGAGCAAGGTTTCCAGCCTCCTTCCCTAAGGAACTATACTGAGGCCTGTAGAATTCAACATATTCATAAAAGCATCCTGCAAAAGCAGATGAACAGTGAGAAAACAAAGTCTCTAGATGATACAAAACTATTCATTATAATAAAATCTAAAGTCAATACAAAGAACTGGGGAAAGAAATAATAGTAATTAATTTCTACAGGAAAACTGAATTCAGTGGTCATAAGAAAAAGTACTGGGGAAAAACCCTTGTGTGCATATACACACAGTGATCAACTCTACATGAGCCAATACCACTTAGAAAAGACATCTTGGGCTGTGAGGAAGAGCTCTCTGAAAATATTCGCTGACTAGCCAGAATTTGTAAAAAGACAAGTTAAGAATCATTAAGGGAAAATCTAGGTTCTATCTAGAAATCTGAATAATATAAATGTGTGGTATGTCTATGTTTTCAGTTTTGCATGAAGGTCTAGTTACCCTTTCTCAAGAAGAGCCCCGGGAAGGGATACCAATAATATGAGAGCTATGGCACAGTTCCCATCTTGGAGGCTGTCTAGAGTATGGCTCTTCCATTTGAAAAGGAGACGTGATTGAGGCAGAATATGAGAGCCTTGCACTGTCCATTCTCTTTAGACTCAAGGACCTTCATACAGAACATCCTGGTAGCAACAGAGGGTCCTTTAAACATCAGTGAAGCCTTTTTTCAGTAATTTCAGATCAGAGCATGGGGCCATTACTTGTATTGATTTCTGGTTATTCACTGAAACTCTAGTACTTTTGAGGACTCCTGATGCAAATGATTTTTCAGCAATTTGAAAAATGGGTTTACAGAATGGTCTCTGGGTTTTATAGACACCTGTGATTTACATCGCTGAATCTTTGGGGTCATCAAATCCAAAATTTTTCTTTATTCCATTAGAAGTTTCAGCATTAAACTCATAAGAGATCTGTATCTCCTTTTGATGCCCAGTATCATTATGCATATATTTCATAGCAGAAAAGGGCAATATAAGAGGACATCCCAAATCATCAAGGTCTGAAAAGGGCAACCAAGATCCTCAGTGTCACTTCTGTTTTGCTGGTTACTCCTGCTTACAGCAAGAGCAGACTGGGCTCCATCAATACACAGAGCTCCAACTCATGAATAGCATGGAAGTCCTCTCAGGTCACTGAATTCATTCAAACCTGAAAAGCTGGCTTTGCCCATTTCTGTTCTTTAGTGTGCCCCACTTGACTCTCAGGCTCATGACATTCAGACCATGTATTAGGAAGATCCTGGGTCTAAATGTCTTTTTCTGCTTCAGATGGTTTCTCTCTTTCAATTTCTTCAAGACTTTTTTTTTTTTTTTTAAATGGAGGCAACACCCAAAAGATTTTCCTTTTCTTTTCCACATTCACAAAGCCCTCAAGCCCTCTTCTGCTATTCTCCTTGTATTCGCTCTGTCCTGAGGCAACATTTTTCTGAATTGAGCTCAACATAATTTGTAATATCAATAAAATGACTGAAATACGCTCTCTCACTATCTGCTATCCAAAAAAATCTCTATCACACCACAATTCCATTGTGATCTGACTATGAAGGGCTAAGAACAATTTAACAAACAGGAAATTTCCATATAACTTAAGCATGAAGGAAGTTCAGGTCCGGGTCAAAAATCAGACTTTGTAAATCTAAACCCTCCAATCCAAGAAACATCACTAGGGTTTGGATACATTTTGGGCTGTAATCCTCAGTGGTAAAATTGGCACAATTTTTACTGATTCTTCAGTCCTTCAAATTCCCCTGACCATAAACATTGGTCTCATGTTCTGTTCTCGTTCACACAATGGCATTAACAGCATTGCAGACCTAGGCACACACCCAGCACTGCACATCCAAGCACACAGAGGAACTCAATTCCCAGCTAATGTAGGTCTGTACCCATTAAATGCGATTTTAATATCACAAATGTTTTCATCGGAAGCTCTTGAAAATGCTTTAATCAGAAGCAGTACTTCGTGGCTTAAGAAATTAGGGAGTTGTTACTATCTTGATTACGGAAGCTATATCTAAGCATATCTAAGGTCATTCAGAAGTTGACCTGTGACATTTAAATGTGGTTTTTTGAGTTAAAGAATATGCACGCACACACACACACAAAAAGTGTAGTTTCACTCCCCTCTACTCTGTTAATGAATTTGGTTTCATTATATCAAGTAGCTTTGAATGGAAATGAAGTTATGGAACCCAGTTATCAAAACTGCATGCTGCAGGTACTCCATTTTATCCAACATCTCAACAGCTAGGGCTACGACAGGATTCAGATCTCATCTCTTCCTGCAGGGATTTTTACCCTTCTCAAAGGACACTCTAGCACTAGGATGTTCTTCCACATCCTTCCATCCCAGTGCTGGTGCTAAGAACGTAAGAGGAACTGTAACGTGTTGAAGTCCAGCTAGCTCCATATCCTGTCTCTGATAATGGACAATATCAGATATTCAGGGTAGAACATGAGAACAGGGAAAGCATACGATGCTGCTTCCCACATAATACTCTTCCAGCATACAAAAGCTTGTGACTTCCAGAATGCCTGAGTCCAAAGTGGAATCTGTGTATTTACTGATCTCCATGGCAGCTTTTTTCCATTATTATTTCCAGTAGCTGCCAACATTTAGCAAAATCCCATAACAGAAAGTCCCACAACTTAATTATGTGCTATGTGAAGATATAGTTCACTTTGGACAAGTAATTAAACCTTCAGACTGACACTAGGACTCAACTATGCCACTTCCCAGCTGAGGGCTTACTCACCTAATGCTCTGTTAGGTGTGGTATGCACATAGGAAGTATTCCTTGTTGCATCACGTATAATGGAGCAATCCCAAATTACTCAACAGCAAGGTGGTTAAGAAGCTGTTTTGGAAATAGCACACCTGGGTTTCAGTCCCAATTACATATTTAACCATTTAGGAAAGTGGAATTATATCAGTATGAGAAAGCGGGAGCACCATACAGAATAGTTGGATAGAGCACTTTACAGTTCTTTGGACAAAGGAAGTAATGCAGTCTATCTACTGGGTTCTCAATTAGTAACCTATTAGATAAAAGAAGGATTCCTCCTCTAATTTTTAAAAGTAGTAAATCATTTCACAGAATCACAGAAAAGTTCGGATGGGAAGGCACCTCTGCAGATCATCTATTTTAATTCCCTTCTTAAAGCAGGCTGCCCAGGATCATGTCCAGTTGGGGCTTGAGCATCTGCAAGGATGGAGACTTCACAGCCTCCCTGAGAAATCCGTTCCAGTGTTGCCCACTTACAGGAATAATTTTTTTCCCTATGTTTAAATGTGTCTGTATTTCAATTTGTGTCCCTTTCCTCACGTCCCTTCACTGGGTACTATTGAGAAGAGTTTAGCTCTGTCTTTTTTGTCATCATCTCTCCCTCCTCCCATAGTCACGGCATCACAGCGTATGATAGCCATAGAGTAGCTTTTAAACTTGAGTCTCTTTCCAGTTACAGCTAGGAAATTTTTTCCATAGATTTCAATATTGGCTCTTGTGCAAATTATTTTTTTTCCCTAGAGTTGTGAAAATGAGAGCAGGAAACTACCTTTTAAAAAAATAGTCTAGGTGAAGTATTTCTTTCTTTACCCTTTCCACCCAGATGTCCTTTTCCCCTTTTCATTTTCATGTCAGGATTGCCATGAAGTTTATTTACTTACAAAGCCATTACAGATGGAGCACTTAAATTAAACTTTTCAGCTTTTCCTCAGGTGTGCTATGTGCACAAAGAAGGCTTTTCACTACAGCCTTTAGCAAACAAGAGTTGCCAACAGAAGAAGGGAACAGGAAGCCTCGAACTCATTCATTACTATCTAAACAGGTACCCAAGTAATTTGTTTTCTAGGATGACCTAAAAAGGGGAGGTGTGTTGTCTCCTATGAACTGCTTGCCTAACCACTTACAAGCAGCTTATCAGGACAAAACATCAGTACAAAACACCCATTAACTCTCATGCAGCAATACACTTAAGAGTTTAATTTAAAAACCATAGTCAAAACCCAACAACTTTAGTTTAAGTACACATGTGCCTACATCCTCTGTTGAACATTTTGCTGACCATTTGCTGTACCTGAGCTCTACTTCTCAGAGGGCTCCAGCCACCTCCTAGTTAACAATTTTTCTGTCAGTGTTAGGACTGCAGTGGTATCGTCAAGCTCCAGTTTTCTGGGTGCTACACAAACAGTAGGACAAAAAGGTAGTTTTTACTCCCAAAGAATTTATTATCCAGGTACAAGAGGGATGAAGCTACACATTAGAAATTTCTGACCTAATAGTTATTCTCAATGAACTTAATGTAACATTATGTTATAAATGTTCATATATTATTAAAGAAAGGGTTTAGAGTTCAAGTGCCATCTTAATCTCAGCCAAAGAATGGCCATTAAGGCAGAGCCCACAGGTCTTAAGGAAGTACTTTCATCTTTCAAATATGTAGCTACATACATATAGTTAAACATATATATGTCTGTACATGTATACACATACATTTTTAGTTTTCAGATGTTATGAAGCACTCAGACCATTATAGCTTCATCTTCCTGTGGTCTCATTGGAAGAGGATTTCAGTGATGCAGAAAAGTATCAATAAGTGTAGATTCATAGGGAGAATGTGAGTTGTAGG